AAATATAATTTTGGAAAATACAAATCACAAAATGTAAACTGAAATAATTATTTAAATAATTGCGAAATATAAATTTGTGCAAAATTTTGGAGTCGTATTAAATTTTTCAATCTGTCTGTGTTTTAGTTCATAAAATCATATTTGTTTATGGAAGTCTTTTCAAAACTCTTTACATGATATCATAATTATAAAAATACTATGCAATCTGCATTCATTTTGGATAATTACAACAAATTTCAAAATTTAATTACACAAGAATTTTAACACAAAAATACTTTTTATATCATAAATATAATAGTAATAGTCAAAAGTCTTTAATCCGGACTAGTGGGACTTCGGCGATTCCGGAATTATCGATTTTTTCGGATTATAGATCATCAGTTTAAATCTGGTAAGATGGCATGCAGAAATTATAAAATTAAAAGTATGAAACCGTAATTTATAAAATAATGAGCAATTATGATCTAAGGGTATCAAAATTTACAAAAAAAAAGAACCTTAATTTTATTTGTTTTTTACTTTATTAAACATTTCTTTCAACTCGCGCATGCGTAAAGCATACATTATGCATAGCCAAAATTAGAAAATTGCAACCAGAAAACTATTTGATTTGTATTCGTGATATTTATAATGAAGAGGAATTTGATTTAAATCATATCAAAGATGGAGTACATCGAGATTAATACTACATTTAGTAGGAATTATAAGCCGAATAAAAATAAAAAATGCTGCCCTGAGATAACGATAGTGCTGACAGATCAACTTCCAGTTCATTGCGCGCCGCGACGTCCCCCCCCCTCCGAGCAGAGCAGCATGAAATTGATAAAGAGATTTCGAAACGGTTAGAATAAACAAAGGATATGGCTTCATCCATTTTTTGTTAGCAATTCGTTTTTTGTTGATGGACATCGAAACATAATTTCGTTTTCTAGATCTTTGGGAGCTCCAGCATCAGAAATTCTTTTTGACATAATCGAAAGTTTAAGCTTACTTTTATAAAATTGCTCTTACAGTCTGCAAAAAATAATAAGCCGAATCCAATTCGAAGATTAAGGAACAATGCAATCATCAACATTAACTGAAATACATAATTATAGCTTATACCGTCCGTTATACATTAAAAGCGCACGCGAAAACGTATTCTGCGCTTGCGAAAACGCATATGCGCAGTTGTAAATGTAAATGTCTTGTGCACACGCGTAAAACGCCTATGCGCATGCATCAACGTGCGCATGCGCAGAAAGATTTTAGCTTTGATGTCCGGGTTATGGGTGTCCGAATTAATGACTTTTGACTATACTGCTGAAATTACAGTTGCACTGCTATTAACTTTCATTTGCAATCCCTTATGTTCCCAAACTGGAAGGTTCCGCAGTCCTTCAAAATAAACATCTCCGTCAACCGGACATATCCACTTTGGCTGAATAGTGTGCTAACTGCACTAGTAGCCAAGGATTGTTCACATTGTTACTTGAAAAGGCCTCTCTTCCATATACAAGGTAACTGGTCTTTTAGAACTGCAGTAATACATTCCAGGATTTATAAATAATAATAATTAAAAAAAAATATTTAAACTTAATCACAGAATGAGAGGCTACAACATTATTTTTCAAGAAAGGTAAAAGGAACAATTGCATAGAAGCATTCTACTGCTATTAACCAGCAGTTAAGCTCATTTGCTTTATGAGGACAGGCCTATTTTTATCAGAGATATTTTGTTACTGTATTGTATTTTATTAGTTTTCTATGTTATCAATGTTTCTATGTTAACAAAAGTTCATTTTACATTGCTTTACAGCAAGAAAATGTTTTGGTTTTATATTGAATACAATAGCTTTTACAAAAAGATTTCCAAGGCAAGGACTATTTAAATTACATTACGATATTCTAGCAAAGGTTTTCAAAAACTGTGAACTTTTTTAATTTTTCTTGCAAATTTTTTAAATTGGACTGAAATTTTTAATAGAGGTCTAAAAAGTTACTTAAAATCTAGATCAACACACATATACATATATATATAATAAAGTTTTGAAATATATACATATATATATATATACAGTCAAAAGTTGTTAATCCGGACTCGTCGGGACTTCGGCGATTCGGATTTAGATCATCAGTTAAATCTGGTAAGATGGCATGCAGAAATTACAAAATTAAAAATTGAAACACCGTAATTATGAAATAAAGAACAAATTATGACTAAAGGTATCAAAATTTACAAAAAGAAAAGAGCTTTTAATATTTATTTGTTTACTTTATTAAACATTCTTCAATGTAAGTTGTTTAAGTTGCTTCGTTTTATGTGATAATACTTTCTCTTTAATTCTTTAAACAGACATAATTTCTTGTTCAGTACAAAGTTCTGCTGTTCAAGTCCTATAATTGCTGTGTCAAGAATACCGACTAATTTGTCAATAGAAATTTTTTCGTTTTCAATAACCTCTGTGCCACTTTCTTCACTATCGGAAGCGAATTATAATGACGAGGAACTTGATTTAAATCATAGACAGAGTACATTGAGATGAAATACTACATTTAGTAAGGAATTATAAGCCAAATAAAATAAAAACATCTGCCCTGAAGATAAGGATAGTGCTGACAGATCAACTTCCAATTCATTGCGCGCCACGACGTTTCCCCCTATCCCCTGGCTGCAGAGCAGCGTGAAATTGATAAACAGATTTCAGATTTCGAAACATACTTTCACTTTGTAGATCCTTTATATAATAGTAAATATATATCGGAAATTCTATTTGACATAATCGAAAGTTCAAGCTTACTTTTATAAAATTGCTCTAAAAGTCTGCAAAAATAATAAGCCGGATCCAATTCGAAGATTAAGGAACAATGCAATCTGCAACATTAACTGAAATAGATAATTAGATAATTTAGCCTAGCTTATACAGTCCGTTATAATTAAACGCGCAGCTAACGTATTATGGTGTGCGCACAGCGCAGCTGTTGTATCACGCGCATATGCGCATGCCTCAACGCGACACATGAGCAGAAAGTTTGTAGCTTTGAGGTCCGGATTATGGGTGTCCGAATTAACGACTTTTGACTGTATATATTTCAAGACTTTATTTCCTTTGTTTCACAGACGCTCTAATGCTTTTTTTCTAAAATGGCTTTTTTATCGCTCTTTTTCTCTTTAAAGGGGCGGGGGAATATGTAAGATAAAAAAAAAATGAAGCTCAAAATTACTAACTTTAATTTATCCTTTAAATTCTCGATTCTAATTTGGCTATGTCTCCTTACTGGAATCTAAAGTACGTCATCTGAAAATTAATCTGGTTCGTGTTTATGTAATCATACTGCAGAGCAACACCTTTTGTCCAATTGGATTGAAGAAACTTTTTACCATAAATACCACTGCTACTACTGTGCACCCCTTTTTTCCCTGTTTTGCTTGCTGCTTGTAACGTGTGTTCTCAACGCTCTGCTTTATCCATTGTTCTAAAATTTTAATCTGTTACATAAAAGTGTGGAAGGTGCGATGAGCACCCAAAATGAGATGTGAACAGTGCAGAATTTACATATAAGGTAAAGCTTAGGGCCTCAGCACTAAAAAAATTAAATATAGTATATATATAGTATTAAAATACAGCATAACACACTTATAAAGGGCCCCATATCACAATAGCTTAAGGTCTTTTAAATTTATATCCGGCTCTATATGTGAACATGTTTATGCTTATCAAGTGTCCATGAAGAAATTTAATGTGTTGTCTTCGTCTAGTTGTCAGTATGGCACCTTGTGAATCTACACATTAAAGGCTTTCCAAATAATTGCACATAATATCTCATAAAAATAATAAAAACTAAGGAAAATAGATTACGTGGCAAAAAGAGAAAAAAGGAGGCTGAAATATGGAAGAAAAACTAATGAATATAGAAAAATAGAATAAAATGCATTTACAAGGGTCCATTAGTCCATATTATCCTGATTCACAGATTCTTTAACAATTTTAAAAAATGTGTTTCTATTCCATTAGCATTTAGTCGTGCACTATTTATATATCTGTAATAATCAGAAGTTGTTGATTGGAAAGAACATGATTTACGAAGTGATGAAACTTGTTGCATAAAAGATGTTAGCAGTTACAGTGATCAATTTAACACTTTTTTCTTCTTATTATTATTTCTTGAGAAACACATTCTTAACATAAATTACACAGTATAATGGGTTTCAATCTGCTTATCTGTTCTTGACCACATTTGTGCCTTTTTTATATTTTTATAACAATTTCAAAGTACAAAACAGCAGCTGGTGAGAACTGAGTTGACACCAGAAAAGTGAGAGATATAATGCCATGTGTCCAAATGAAAATCTAGTTCAGAATCTATCAGTGAGTTCTTTATCTCTACTGGTTAATTTTAAGTTTCAGTTTTCAATTTGAAATCATTTTTGGCTGTAACTGGTTGTATTTTGAGTTTCAATTTGCACTTTGAAATTATTATTGGCTGAAGCATTCGCATCACGTAAGAGTTAAGGCATTAATTTTAAAATAACACAATTCAGATGGATTTATTATATGCAGTACTATTTCTAAGCTGGAAAAGGGAAATAAAAATTAAGAATCAAGGGACTATTGCAAATTAAAATTAGAATTCAGATTTACACTTTTTTTAATCTCTCTCTCTCACACACACACACACATATATATATGTAACATGAAAACAATTAAGAAGAAAATTAAGGATGCTAACACAGACTTGCTATAACATTTGGACTGAAAAACAAATACAAGAAAATCAAACACAGTGAATGTTTCTTGATGACTGTCTCTGAAAGTGCTAAATAATTCTTAGACCATCAATAAATATCACTATTTGACACTCTCGATACGATTACACTCCTTCATAGAAAACAGGAATCTTTTGGTACCATAAATGGTAATTTCATGAAGATTTCACTTTGCTGGCACACAATTAACATAAAATACATACAGTAAATATGTATGAGCAACAGATAAAAAGTGAACAAAATATGCACTTACTTATTAAATTTACTTCTCCTTTTTCAGACTTCAAACCTTGCTGAGAAATATTTGGGATCATTTGCTCCCAAGTTAAAGTTGCATTTGATACATTGATAGCAATGTCTAAACGATTAGGAACAACAGTATAATTTTCTTTTTCTTCAAGCTGAAGAAGAACCTGAAATAAAATTTTTAGTTATTATAATGCAATATTTGGTTTAATTTGGACATTTTGATTTGATGTAAAAAAATGAAAGAAGTACAACTGAAATTAGCAATGACAGAACCTTTCGAATTATTGAATATACTCTGAAAAAGACAATATTTCCCTTATAATTAGCCTATCATGAGAGAACATTAAAATTTAAAGCAGAAATAAAAATCTAATTTGATACATACAATAAAACTCAATTATAATAGAAATCCAACCATCCATACAACTTGAATGTAGAGCTATGTGGATTACAGAATTATAAATCTTTTTCAGAGTTGCTTACATTCTTCTTTGCTAAATTTTTATATTACATTTGCATTGTTTGCAAATAAACAACTAAAAAAACAGTCATATCTTAATATCTTCAAGATTTATTGAAAAAAAAACAGTCATATCTTAATATCTTCAAGATTTATTGAATATAAAGTAATTATGTTTTACTTTAATTAAAATTATATATACAGAGAAAATGTCAGAACAAGAGAAAAAGGTTTATGAAGAGAAAAAAAGAGAAACGCTATGGAATTTTTTTTTTTTTTAAAGTACAACAATTTTTCAAAACACACTGTAATATTTTAGATTAAAAAAACTGTATATGCACCAGTGAAATTACTTTCAAAGTTAATTTTTATGATTTTAAATAAGAAAAAAATAAATACACACTTTATAAAAATCGCAGCAATGCTTTCATCCATATGCTAATTTTGCCATTGCCTCTATTACATGCACACTGGGGGGGGGACAACTCTATATCTCCTGTTCTACTGGGAAATTGACGAAATTCAACTTGTGTTTTTCATGTCTTGAACGAGCGACTTAAGATATGTATTAGATTTATATATATCATTGTTCTCATATGGGTATTTTGATACAAAATAGGACTTTTTCTGAACTGGCATGCAAATTTTTTTCCATATTTCGATTCTCTGACTCAAATTATGCCAAGCTGCCAAGATTTACAAAATTTGCACAAGTAGTTTTTAGCAAATTAGCTCTCAAAATTTTAGCTCCAAAATGTTAATTGAATTTGATATATATTTATTAGCATCTCTTTTTTTTATTAAACTTATTTGATTCATCCTTTCATATTTCAAAATTAAGATTCATTCCAAACAAAATTCACCCATTTTTTATGATTTATTTTAAAATAATTTTTATAAATTTATCAAAAATTTTGAAACATAGTCTATCAAATTTTTACCATCATCTTAAAGCAGATGTTTCTAAGCATACCTGCAAAAAGTTAAGCGTTTTTTATTCAAAGTTTCAGAATATATGCGCGAATTTATATGTTGGCTAGTTTTGAAATTTGGCATACTTGTTGAAAGCAATAATAACATTAAATGTGGTTAAATTTATTCGAAAGTATGAATGATGACTTTTTCCCCACTCATGGACAATGAAAAAAAGGAAAGAAAAATAGGTTGCTATATAGGTTGCTATAAATTAAGAAGTTAAGTCAATTTTTCTTGGCTCAAACTGAAAAAAAAAAAAAAAAAAAAAAAAAAAAAAAAAAAAAAATGGGGTAAAATAAATTTTTAAATTTCTCCATAAATTTCTCAGCAAAAATTACAAACATTTCTAATTTCAGTCGTAGAATGGAAATATGGGAAAAAACTGGTACATTATTCCAGAAAAAATCCGATTTTGTATCAAAATACTTAAAATCTAGATCAACATTAGTGTATATATATAGATATATTGTATATATATATATATATATATATATACACATATATATAATAATAAATATATTACACATATATATATATATAATAAAGTTTTCAAACATATATATATTTCAAAACTTTATTTCCTTTGTTTCACAGATGCTCTAATGAGCAATGCTATACAGTTATGCTCTAATGAGCAATGCTATACAGTTATGCTCTAATGAGCAATGCTATACAGTTATGCTCTAATGAGCAATGCTATACAGTTATGCTCTAATGAGCAATGTTAGAGCAATGATATACATAAATCTAATATATATCCCAAGTCGAGTTTTAGAGACATGGAAAACTCGATTTGAATTTCGTCAATCGGCCCAGTAGAACAGAACATAGAGAACTATCCTCTTTTTTTTTTTTTTTTTTTTTTTCCCAATGTACAGCTAACGACTACCAAACATTTAATAAAAGTACGAGAACCAAAATTTTGAATTTATTAAAAAAAAAAAGTCTGTTCTTTAGCTCTCCCATTTTTAATATAGTTTCCATTTTTTTAGCAGAAAAATTATTAAAAATGCTATTTCGAATAATTCCTTCTTATTCCTTTATATGTGAAACAAGCTTTATTGCTGCATGAAATATTGAGGAAATTAAGCATTGAGTGTTTAAGTTAGAAGTCAACTTCAGGAAAGTTGTGGACTAGTAAAATCATTGCATATGTTAACCATATAAATTCAGAACTAAACATAAAAAGCAGAGGAACATACACTCAGAAGTCAAGATTAATCTAAAACAAAAGATTTGTTCATATTTACAATCCCTGTTTACAGCAAAATAAGCACTTAAGTGTATACAGAAAGTAATAAATAATTTCACAAATAAAATTAATTGCCTTTCTCAACCCAAATATGCTATAATGTTAAAAATTGTCATTATATTTCCAATGCTAAATTTTCTGAACATCAAAATTAATGTGAATTAAAAGCACAAGCAGATTATCAGAATTTTACGGTATAAAGTTATTTTTCAGTATAGTTTTAAAGGAAAATATTGGTGCTTTTGAGGTATCAGAAACTCAGTTCGTTTTTCTTTGATCAACACGGACTAGCACCTCATTGTACACCTTACTGTCAAGGGCTTTTCCTCTTTATAGATATTCTTTGTGGATACCACAGCAATCCCACCAGATACAAAACATAACCTTTTTGTTAGTCAAATTGCATTTACGATGCTACCAAAGAGATTACCAGGTGCAAACCAACTCCCTTTTCAGCCTGTGTTGTTGAAGTAAATCCATTTTTTATAACAAGTAATGATATGGTCCAGAATTTTGTCTTTGCATTAATGTTCGAGCAGATTAATGCAAGCCCGAATAAATGTCTGCCCTTATTTGCTTGAGTCAGATCATGCGGCACCCAGCGATTGAACTTGTATGTCATGTTTATGTGATACATAGCATGACTAATGGACATGGTACTAATATCTAACTCCTTAGCAAACTCTCCAGTGGTCATATATTTATCTCCTTCTGCAAATTCTCACAGGGCCATTAACAACAGCACTGGCCACAGTGCTCTGCTTCTTGAATTTCATAGTCCTCATTTTTGAACTTTCATTACCAAACCTTCATAGCACCATATGATACAACATTAGTATCTAAAGCTGTACACATGATTAGTGTGCCTGACTTTCTGCAACAGCTGGAAGTAAATGATGGTTCTAATCTGGCAACAAGATAATTCCTTTTTAGATATCTTAATGATAAAGATACTTGTTTTTAAATTTCACAACACAGTGTTCTAAAGCAAGTCTTTCTTTCAAATACCAAAAACTGTTCTGACTGTACAGACAAGTATTTGCAGTGATGGGAAAACATTTGTTAAAACCTAATATTTGCCTTCCTGTTGCAACTATGTTCTTACTGGTACTATATTCATTTCAGCAGGTAATTATGCATTCATTCTTCTATATGCACATGATTCCTTCATGGATCTCTGGGATTTGAAACAGTGAAGCAGGAACTACGATTTTTTTTTTTTTTTTTTTTTTTAAATTGTTACTGCAGTAACATCTGCTTTGAATTCTGTATTGCAAACAACAGAATCATCCACTAAGATTAAGAAAAGAAGTCAATCAGCCATAATGCTATCATAGTTAGTTCAGTAGCAGAGAAACTCAGGAAAGTCAGATAGCTGCCAAAAATAAATTGTGAGGTACTAACACTCTTGATTTTGAATAATCCAGAAATACCAAAATTTTTTAGACATTTGAACTTCTTTTGAAATCCTGCAATTTCCCCCTACAAATATAAAAGCTGTTAACTACAGTGTAAAATCCTTAACAAATTGAGCATATTAATCAGTTAGCACATACAGCATTTTAAGTTCTAGGATTTCTTTTGTTTTTCAAAAAAATTTCAAAATTTTAAGAATATTAATTTACAATATGTTTATATTATTATAAATTAATATTTAAAAAAATTAATGCAAAAACTTTTAGAATAAAAATTATCAAATTAAGAATAATGTATATTTAAGAACCTGGGCAAGAACCGGTTTCTGCAATATTAGAAAACTCATTCATCTATTCAAGTCAATTATATATTATTATACTAAATTCAATTATACTAATATTATTTATTATACTAAATTCAAGTCATTTAGCCCTATTGCTAACTCATGACTGTATTAATTAATGTATCAATACATTTGTATTAATCAGTATTTCCTTAACTTAAAACAATTTATATTCAAAAACAAGAACAATATGAGTGAAAGAAATCTATATATAAAATGACAAAAAATTAACATATTTAATTTTTATTTTAGGTCAATATCAGTCAGTGATTATAAAACTGATCTTCAAATTCATCAAGAAATCTAAGCTGCGGCTGTAAAGTTACAGTACCTTCAAAACTTCACATGAAGCAGCCAGAATACAAATGGAACACTTGAATTCAATTTTGAGACAGAGCACAGACTTTTCACTTTTAAGGAAGGAAGCTAAATTTTCTGTAAAATACCTTAATAAAAGCACTTACCTGCAATCTTGAAATTGCTACCATACCATTGACAATATTCCTTATGATCATAGGTAAAGTACGAATTCCATGACTCGCAATTGTATTAACCATTACTAAAGTAAAAGCCTTTAAAATGAAAGAAAGAAACATTTACAGTTTTAAGATAAATAATGAAATTTATATTCAAGAAAAATACATGTATATATAATTATTTATCATAACATGTAATAAATACAATAAAATATTCATTATATTTCATTTAATGTGGTTAGCAAAGCTATAATACAGGGTGTTTATAAAGTCCCGGACCCATTTTGATGTATAATAACTCATAAAATAATGAAGATATAAACAAACTTATGGCATTTATTGATGGAATAACTTATATTAATATTATTATATAACTTATATTTATAACATTTTTCAAGGTTTGAATATCTTTACTTTTGTAATATCATCTGCACGTGGTTAATTTCAGATAATTTCATTTCCCAGTCTAAATCTGTACTTTCCTAAATATCGTCTGCTTATTAATTGCATTTTTCTCTCTTTTGTTTTTGGCAACTACTGCAATGTTATGGGGATCTGAAAACCCCCATGAATACCGTGAGGCACAAAGGGATTCCCCAAAGGTTAATGTGTGATGTGGACCACTGCACGACCGAGTCATTGGGCCTTTCTTTTTTACAGAAAAGACGGTCTCATCAGTCATATACTTAGACATGTTGGAAAATTTTGTATTTCCACAACTAGAAGAGCTTCAGCCACATGTCTTTTTGCAATAAGATGGTGCACCACCTCATTGGGGTACCATCCTTCGTAGTTCTCTGAATGACCATTTTACAGGAAGATGGATTGGGGCGAGAAGGTCCAATTCCGGGCCACCCAAATCACCTGTTTAAATAAAATAACGCCCTCCCTGGACTTTTTCCTTTGGGGATTTGCAAAGGACAACGTTTATTAGGAGGAGAGTGTCGAACATTGATGACCTAAAAGCCAGAATTACAACACCGCAATAGCCTCTGTGGATGCCGACATGCCCTGCCGTACCTGGCCGTGAAAAATTGAATATCGACTTGATATTCTCCGTGCGACAAAGGGGGCACACGTGGAAGTTCATTGACAAGGGTCATGAAACTTTTAGAGTCTATCTAACCATTTATGTTATTAATTTTAATCTACCTTTATTTTTTATGAGTTATTAAACATCAAAATGGGTCCGGGACTTTATAAACACCCTGTATATGAAACATATTGAATTTCAATTTAAAAAAGTGCATTACGAAGGTACACATCAGATCTATAATAAAATTAAGATAAAAGAATAAAACAGAATAAAGTATTTAATATTTATTCGAAAATATAAGATACAAAACCTAAAGAATGCGAGAAAATTTATTTAATATACATAAACACAAAGAAAGAAAAAGTAAGATGAAAATTTTCAACCATTTTCATTTAAATTAAGATAAAATATTATAAATGGACTTCACAAGACAAAAGCAAACCATCTAATACAATAATCTAAGCTATCTTACAATGATAAATGATGATAACAATGATACAATAACAAAACTATGATAAATTTTATATAAAAGAAAATGTGATGTCAAAATTTTTCAACACTTTCATTTCTCAGATAAGATTATATCATTAATGAAACTAAAAAAAGCAGAATATTTAAGAAACAAGATAAAGATTTTTCCATTACAGAAAAATAATTTTCAAAAGTTTCTGATTGGCCACATCTCCTAGTTTCAATTACTGTTAGAATTGCCATGTTTTGGGTGCATTTTTTTAATATACATATGACAATAGACCACCTACGCATGCATCTAACTTACATGTGTTTTAATAGACATGGAATTACACAATTTATATTTAACATCCATTAGCAGATCCACTGACTCTAAAAGAAACTAAATTGGTAATTAGATTATCTGAAACTAAATTAATCTGAAACTAAATTGGCAATTAGATTTTCGTTTACTTTATCAAATTTCTTCCTTTTTATAAAAGGCTTCTTTCTATTTATGAACAAAATACCATCTTTGAGTACAAAAAGTGTTTTTCGCAAATTCACTAAATCTCCATGGAGTTACCGAGTTTTGAGGATGAGGGGGGAGGGAAGCGAATAATCAGAAAGTACCCAGTTTTCTATATATGCCAATTTGATACTTCCAATATCTTACTATCAGCTCATTTTGTACTTGGTAACATTTTTCTTAATATATTTAAGTAAATGTAAGAAAATATATCTCTCTTAGGTCACTTATTTCAGTAATAAAGAACAAATTAGAGTGATAAACTTTAAAAATGTTTATTTAATTTGAAAACAAGAACAATTTTATAAAAGAATAGAATACATTTAATTTAGTAATGGCTGATAGGCAACATTGATGTATATAAATTTGTTACAGAAAACAATTTGGTACCTATTGTACTATAACAGAAAAGATCTCAAGATAATTTATATAAATGTACAAACATATGTTATGAGAGTACTTTTTCATCAAAGCCATACCACTTGGAGCTTCTTTTTCCTGGTGATAATTCTCTTTATAACCATTACTTTCATAATCACATTTTTATATAAAAAAATTTCTTTCTTCCCCCAAATGGATTTTATGATTTGGAGTTTGCCAAGTAATAGATGTGTATTATCCTTTCACAAAGACAAACTGAATTCTGATAATCACCTCATGAAATTAAAATTATGACTGAAGCCAAAATGACTATGCAGCTTTCATGTCTACCAGGAAGGAAAAAGACGTCTGAACACAAATGCAGTTAGTCAGATGATACACTTCTTTGGTTACTGCTGGTAGATTTACTTATGGTATCAAAAAAGCCCTATTGAATTTTGCGAACCAATGCTCATTTCAGAATGAATGACAAAATAATGGTCGAGTGGAATAATTTATCACATGCAAGCTATGTGCTAGTTCTTTGTTGTCTTGTCCTAATGTTAAAACTGATGAATGCTAGAAAATTGTGGAACACCTGATGACAGTTCAGACACAAAAAGAAAAAAAATAATATATGCTGAGTTCTCTCAGCAAGTAGTTAGAAAACATTTCCTTGTTGTTTATTGAAATGATTATTCATCATTTTGTCTAGCACCAAGCCAAAGAAATAACCAAAACGCACCAATATGGTGTCAAAAAAACATGGTATGAATTTAATATAAAAGGGCAAACTGGAGTAAATAAAAGTAGAGAAGTTATTCAGAGGGATAAACATTATTAAGTTTACCTCGGCTGGAGTAATATCATAACCAAACAGAGTATATGCCAAAATTGTAAATATTGTAGCTATTACAGCAGACAGTGATGAAACAGAAGAATTTACTGTATGAAGATATTGAACTTTTTGCAAAAGGCTCCTTTCCTTTGCTCTAGCAGCTGCAAATATATAAAGTATATAGTATTTAAAATTTTCAAAATAAAAAATAATAATGTTGAATGCCACAGTAAATAAAACAGAAAAAAAATTAGTAAAAAAAATATTACTATAATCAAATTTAGGTGCATTTTTTAGCAAATTTTTTAATAAAACTTGCTAAATCTACAATAACTACATAGCAAATTTTTAGGATTAATAGCATAATACAGATATAAAAAATAATAATTCACATATTACCAATTTTATATGAAAGTTTGCTGAAATACAGATTACTAAGCAATATAATTTTATTAACTGCCACTGCATGCCAGTTTTAATTCAATTAAATTCTTCTTTGAGCAGCAAAAAATTTGACTAGATAATCATTCTTGACAGCAGAAATTAACATAAATAGTATATGCATAATAGTATTACAAAGTGTTACATTAAATATTTATTCCTTGGAAAAGAAGATAGCTCCTTCTCTCCTCATCAATTTAGAGTTCATATATATATATATATATATGTCATGATTCCGGGAACATAGAAGAATTAGCTCACAGTCATCATAGCTGAGCATGAAGGCTTATAGGTGAAGATAACAAAACATGAACTTGAAGAATTTCCAGTCTTTATTTCCACACACATAAAATCATCTCCATAGATGTTTATCCAATCATAATGAAATCTGATACATTTCTACGATTCAATCATAATGAAATATGATACACTGCTATTTATATTGATTCTTAAATTTAAGACGCAGGCACTTAAATGGAAAAGCAAAGCGAGGAGATAGTAGCAAGGTGGGAGCTACCAGAAGAAATGATGTAATTAACTGCAAGAGGTTTTTATACCAGAGTAGGTGCTATTCTAGAGATAAGCTATGATTGGTTAGTTATTAGTTTTGGTTACCCTTTTCAAGCAAGCAGCATTATGCAACATCGAAAGATCTCGAATTTGGGAGAACAGATGAATTTAGGGAGAGATTACCAAATCTAGAATGTTAATTTTGAGGTCATAATTATTTTTTAAAGCAGCTGTGATATTTTCTTATATCTTACATATATATAAAGCAGATTAAAGTGCACAGTATATATCTGTGCAATTAGCTGACCTTCAGACAAATGTCATATACATGTAAGAAAAATAAAGATTATGTAAAAGATTAAATTAGCAGCGTAAATTAACTTCCTTTCTCTATTTTAAAAATAGCAACATCTATTTGCACTGCGTCACTTCGAGAAAAATCTATGTCATATGACTTATACACAATTCTGATGATGTAAGTGAAAATAAAACAGACAATAGTAATTTTATAGCAATATTAACTGTCCAATCAAAATGCCTTGAGAACCAAAACTAACTCAGTCTGAATAAGATTTCACCCTGAAAATAATGCACTTGCTTTCTACGCTTTGCCTTAGCTCGACTGTAGACTGTCTGCTCCTTCTTTTTTGCTGCAAATCTTGCAAAAATGTAAGTCTTTTGGAACAGGCACATTTAATGTGCTGACTTGTGTATAGCCACAACATGTTGCTGAAAATAAAACTGAAGATTTAACCTGCCTTCACCTCCAATTTGCTAATCATTATGGATCAACACTTCTATGCCATCAAAATTCCTGCTGCTGAATATATTACATATATGCACTTCACAAAACTTAGGGTAAAACTTGGGTACATAAATTAGTATGTTTAATTAAATCCAAAGAAAATTCCAAGTACAATAATGATACATTTTAATAATTTTTCATTTGCATAGTTTGGGTTTTATTATTCATAATGACAAACAATTCAGCTAAAAGATCTCTTAAACTTTTATTATCCCTGTTTTTTACGCATGTATAACAAGAATATTAAATACATTGATAAACTTGTATCAACAAGATTCTGTTTCATGTTTATGAAAGAAAACACATTTCCAGGTTCAGATAGAAGTTACCTGTCTTTAATAAAATACTTAATTATTATAATTAAGAAGTTACCTGTTTTTAATAAAATGTCTTATAATATTATATTGTAAAGAATCATCTGGATTCCTACAAAATAGCATTTTCTAAGAACCTAACTACATAATTTTATATCAGAATTTCAAAATGAATGGAAGGCAGGATCTTACATATATATAAAGCAGATTAAAGTGCACAGTATATATCTGTGCAAATTAGCTGACCTTCAGACAAATGTCATATACATGTAAGAAAAATAAAGATTATGTAAAAGATTAAATTAGCAGCGTAAATTAACTTCCTTTCTCTATTTTAAAAAATAGCAACATCTATTTGCACTGCGTCACTTCGAGAAAAATCTATGTCATATGACTTATACACAATTCTGATGATGTAATCAACTTTGAAGTAACAACAGTAATCAACTTTGAAGACAAATTTACAGATATTCTGAGTGAATGAAAAAATGGTGAGGAATCTTCATATTTTACCAACATCATAAAAAATAATTAATTTATTAGATTAAGTGATTTTAAAGAAAATTTTCCTAGATAGTAAGGAAAAGCCTGAAATATGCCTCCATAAATTTGAAACTGAATGCATTAAAGTTTAGAAGATAAAACAGCACTAGCAGGCAAGCCGGCTATTCATTGGCCGGGATTTGAAAGTTGGACGGAACTACCAGTGAAGCCCGCTTTCATTCACTGGAATTTGAAAGCTGGACCGAACTACCAGTGTTCAGCCATTTTGGCTGGGCTGCGCCCACTGTCTTCACGTATGCATACACGTTACACATGTGGAAAATCACGAAAACACCCATGCAGCCAAGCTCACTGAAGCCTGCTGCCTAAGGGAAGGGATGCCTTCGTGGAAGACTTTTTAAGGGAAACGCTCGTATACACATTAGACATGCGGAAAATCACGAAAACACCCATGCAGCCAGCCCGTCCGAACTACCAGTGTTCAGCGTGTATATGGCACTTTTTTTTATACCAGATATAAAGGGGGGGGAATATCATATTGATGAAAATAATAAAATAGTAGCAGATCACTTCCACAAATAAGGAAATATTTGCAGAAATGTTCAGAACCTGCAAAATTCAACCATGCATTAGCACGCATTTCCAAAAATATCACAAAAATACAATCAGAATAGTAAATAATTCAAAATTTTTTAATATATCAAATTTTTTTTAAATCATGCTGAAATTACCTTCTACTTTCACCATAAAAAAAAAAAAAAAAAAAAAAAAAAAAAAAAAAAACTGACTCAAACTTTTTTTTATATGTTTTTATTTTGAAAACTACTATGTTATCCAGATCAAACCCACTAGCACATTTAGAATACTTGCAGGGAATACTTCACTAATACTGAAAGAATAGGAATGTATTTATAGCTAATACTAATAATAATCTAATAATTCTAAATACTGACATCAGCATCAATGTGACATTCCCAGTGGTTCAGCAGTTTTTGAATAACCAGATACCATTAATAATGAAAAAAACTGAAAGCTTTAAGTAAGGCTATAAACAACATATTAGTTTCAGAATATAGTGTACAGCCTGTCATTTTTAACTGATAGAAAGAAACATAATGAAAGCTTTAAATAAGGCTATAAACAACATATCAGTTTCAGAATAAATACACAACCTGTCATTTTTTAACTGATGGAAAGGACCATAATCAGGTTTAATTCAAAGAACAGATTTATTAAATCCAATATGTAATATTGATAGTATTCATAAATATTCTTACAACTGAATGACAACTTGCCTAGCATTATGATCAAGTCAACTCGCAGTATGTTTCCATTTACAATGCTACTTAACCATGAATTTCTGCAGAGACTGAAAATAATATTCATTGTTGATTTAATAATGTCTTACGGACTTGTAATATGCCATTGGGCCATTGGGGCCTGCAGATAGTGTACATCAGAGCCCAGAGTTGTAGCATCCATATGTAAATAGCATATTTTTGGAGTCTGATGGTTGAAAATATCACTTCTTTTTGAAGTAATATAAAATTATACATAAGTGGAAAGGTAATTTAATCAAGAATATAATGCATCAAAGTTTACTCAATTATCTGCATTCTACAAAAAATTATAGCCTAATAACTGGAAAAAAGAAACAAAACTTGCTTAGATTCATGTGAAATAGATTACCTTAGTTTCAATTTAATTGATGAGCATGAATGCTTAGACACCTAAGAAGGCATCCTCTTGTTCTGACAATAAGCCAATCAGGTCATGAAAGAATTCATTTAATGAATGTATCGAATCGTAAAGAAAGGCATCTGTCACACTATTATGAGTCTGCTATTACCATGACTGGCTTTTCTGTGCCCTTTAATTTACTGACCTTTTATAAAATGTAATAAAATAATTGCAATAGTGTAAAGAATTGACTGGTCAGCTAGAAAGCAATGTAAAATGGCACTGTAAAGTGAAAAAGACTATAGTTGTTAAGATATTAGAAGGAAAATTGGTGGAAACTTAAATAAACATGACATTCTTAAATTTTTAAAGTGGTATAGGAACACTGAAATCTTTCCAAGCTAATGATACATTTGTAGTTGAACCGGATTTAGCTTCATGCCATATTGCTGTTGCACAAAAAAGTGGTTTCAAGACAATCATATACTCCTGATTTAATGGTCTGGAAATAGTCCAGCATTTAATCTGTAGTGCTGAACAACGATAACTTGCAAGACAGAATTAATTTATCAATAAACCCCAATTAACAGAAGCAATAATTCAATCTTTGCTTTATATTATAACTACTGCAGAATTAAAATACTTAGTTCACTCCATGTAAAGGTGTTGTAAAACCATGACTAATATTAAAGGTTACTCAATTAAATTTTAAATGACATACTGATATTTTTCTATATTTCATTTTTTCAATGTGATTTCTCCTTTTCATCTTTATAACAGCTTTTCTCATAAATAATCCCTCATAAATGTTATAGCATAGACCCACCAGCGGCCGAGTGGTAAAAGCCGCTGAACATTGGTAGTTCGGTCTGGGGTTCGAGTCCCGGCGAATGGGCTAGCTGCATGG